AGTGCTCTCTATGAAGCACTCACAAGATATTTAAATAGTGTCCCAGGTGAAAATCCAGATGAAGCAAAAGCACTGAAAGTTGCTCCCACGCGCAAAGCAGCATTTAACATCAAGGGAAACACACTTCACTCTGCTTTTAAAATACCTGCCAACAGGGGATTTCAATACTGCACACTTGATACAGATAGACTTAATACAATACGAGCACAGTTAAGAAAACTGAAAGTTATATTTATTGATGAGATTTCAATGGTAGGCAATGGAATGTTCAACTTTCTTAACTTACGACTGCAGCAAATAATGGGAAACAAGTCACCATTTGGAAATCTGAGCTTGATAACAGTTGGAGACTTATTCCAATTAAAACCAGTATTTGATAAATGGATCTTTGAAAATACCAATGATTCTTACAGTGCTTTAGCAACCAACATTTGGAAGGAGTATTTTACCTTGTTTGAACTCAGGGAAATCATGAGGCAAAAAGATGACAAGGACTTTGCAGAACTATTAAACAGACTTAGAGAAGGAAAACATAACCAAAATGATATTAAGGTCCTTAAAGAAAGAATTGTAAAAATTAAACCTGGTGAGAAAAATTATCCCATCAATAAAACACATCTATACTCAACAAATGCACAAGTAAATGATCACAACAATGCAATGTATCAAACTGCACATACTCAAAAAGCTCAAATTAAATGTATTGACATAGTTGTTGGAGATATGTCTGATGACCTAAAAAACAAAGTCAAAGAAAAAATTCCAGATGATCACACTAAAACTATGGGCTTATTTAATGTTGTTTCAGTTGCTGTGGGAGCAAAATATGACTTGACAACAAATGTCAATGTAACTGATGGTATGACAAATGGTGCCGAGTGTGTCATAGAGAAGATAGACTACAGAGTTAAAGACTCCACTAGGCCAAGTATCATCTGGGTATCTTTCCCAGAAGCTAGCATAGGTCAAAACCATCGCAATGAATTTGCACATTTATTTAACAAAAATGTGGATAGAACCTGGACACCAATTTTAGAGATAACTAGACAATTCAAGATTTCAAAGCGACATCAATGCCAGATACTTCGTAGACAATATCCTTTACGGCCAGCAGCAGCTAAGACTATCCATCGTTGCCAAGGTGACACACTTAATGAAGCAGTACTTGATTTACCATCATCAACCAGAGAGCACATGCATTATGTTGCTTTAAGTAGAGTAAAAAATTGTTCAACACTACATATAATCAACCTAAATGAAAAAAAA